TACAAAGTATTAAAGCAGGTCCAGTGACAGCTGGAGGTGTCTCATTCTTTGGTACAAAATATAGCCCTTTATGGTTTTAAGAAAACCCACAAAACGCATAGCGGCAGTGTCCTGGGACAGACAGCTGTGCTGTCAGTCTCTGGGAAAGCGTACTGAAAGGTGCTCATACATTTCCCCCTGAGATCTCAGGGGGGGTCAGGAATGGGAAGGATGTAACTCCCTCTCCTCTTCTCCTTCCTGCACCTTCAGGAAGAAGGCAGAGTTCAGTCTCCCAAGCCGAGGGAAGGAGAAAGGGATAGGAGGGTCTGTGAGAGGTGGAGGTCAGCACCAGGGCCTCTCACCTGAGCATCTCTGCATGGAGTGGATACTGGCACCTGGCTGTGCCCCTCAAACTGGCTCCTATCATCCGGATTCCCACTTGTAATAATCCTATTCCTGCTTCACAGAGGAAGAATAGCAGTCCCAGGAGGGGCAACGATTTCACTAAAGTCACACCGCAAGCTAATGCTGGAGTCCAGACAAGACTCAAACCTTCTGGTTTCTAGTTCCATTTCCTGGATGGAAAAAAAGTTGGAAGCCCTTCTTCTTTTCAGCTGCTGCTCTAGTTCCCAAAGTGGAGTGGCACAAACATGCCAAAGGAGCCCAAGCTACTCCCTTGGCTCCACAGGGGAGGGATGGAGGGAGAGGCGCTTTACAACATCACCCTCCGTCACCAGAGCTTCGGAGAAGAGGCAAAAGTGTGCAGACAGGAGCAGGTCCTAGATTTGTTAGCCAGAAGCAAATTCTGGGTCCGCCTGGCTAGATCTGAAGATCTGGCCACCTCCAGAAGCCACCACACTCTGGGACAGTGGGAGGTCTGTACCAGCTTTGAGAAGAGCAAGGTGAACTGGGAGGTCCCAGAGCAGGCTGCCCAAGAAATGCCACTTCCTGGCAGAACTTGTGAGGGTCAGGCCGAGGGTTAACGGATAAGCAGGCAGAGGGTAGAAATCCAATTGGGCTATTCCTAAAGCATCCCCAGCCGCTTGTTTTTTCATTCTTCACAGTTGCTGCACTGTTGCCACAGAGGTCCGTCCCCACATGTGACACCCGGGATTTCATCCTGGCCTCACAGGATCCCAGGATGATAGGTCACAAAGGGCTTGCCTGGTTTTTACTTCCGACTCTTGAAAGCTTAAAGAAATTGCTCCTGAGAGGTTCAGTGCCTTGTCCAGGGACACCCAGTTTGTGACAGAGCCAGGAGGAAAAGACAGTTCAGTATGCTCTCACAGGTGAGTCACCAAAAACATCCTATAAAAAGACCTTTTGAGAAACTGTAACCCAGTTAAAGCTAGTTAAAAATTCTTGCCTTAAAGCACTCCATATTCATTTTACTTGGCTTTCTGTGGGTTTTCTCCCCGAGAGACAAGTCGTATTAATTGGATAACAGTTAAGTGGTGCAGCCTCAGGGTTTTGCTGTGTCAATTTTAATTAAAGAACAGTACCTTATCCTTCACGCACTTTAATTAATCCCCTGCTGTGTTGTTTCTGTTAGTCATTCAGAAAAACAACTGAAGTATCCTTTAGCCATGGAAAAGTGCATATTTCGTTGATGAAAAGCGTAGGTTTTAGTCCACTTGAGCATGTCTGAGTCTTAGATGGGGGGTGGTGCTGCCTCTGCGTTTCTTCCCAGCCTCCCTGCTGAGCCATCACGCTTCCCTGTGCTCGCCCACAGGCTGCAGAAAACCAGCAAATCTCATGCGAGCTCTTTATTCATTTTCCCAGGCAGCTCTTTATTCATTCCCCACTTGGCATTTTAATGGATTTATGAGGCTTATAAGGGTCTACATGTAAATGAAGTAAAAATAGAAATAGATGAAGCCAGTCTTGAGGGAAAACATACATGGTTTCCACATGAACTCTGATGTTTGCTCTTGGTGTGACCCAGGGTCCCTGCATTTTTCTGTACACACTTTGAACCCACTTGTAACTGTTGCACCTTGAGTTCTTGTTGTTTCAAAAAGTTCCGGAAAGAAGCTCAGCCCTTGCAAAACAACAACAAAAAAACTAGTTGGATCTTTGGCGAACTCATTACCATACTAAAAACCCTGCCCAGGGAGGAACTTTGCTGTCATTTGCTACACATGTCACAAAGGTAGAAGAGTGATTAGCTACTGCGTCTGCACTGCCCTTACTCTGCCTCTGCATATAATGACTTTGCTAACCAGCCCAATCAAAGCCCTGTTTTCACTCTGTTTGGGGAGGCACTGCTTTGGGGAACCATTCCCATGTCCTTTTGACTTGTTCCAAGTAATAAAATCCCCTTTTTATGTCCCCCTTGGTTGTGTTCATTGGTCTGTCACCTGCCAAGTGATCAAACCCACCCACTGTGTGTGTAACATTATGTGTCAGTCTATTTTTCCATTGCTATACAGAAAAACCTGAGATTGGGTAAAGAAAAGAGGTTTCATTGGCTCATAGTTCTGTAGGCTGTTCAGGAAGCATGATGCTGGCATCTGCCTGGCTTCTGGGGAGGCCTCAGGAAACTTACAATCATGTGAGAAGGTGGAGGGGGAGCAGGCATGTCACAGAGCCAGAGCAGGAGCAAGAGAGTGAGGGCTGAGGTGCCACATACTTTTAAACTACCAGATCTTGGGAGAACTCACTCACTATCACAGGGTTAGTACAAGGGCGTGCTACTAAACTATTCATAAGAAATCTGCCTCCAAGATCCAGTCACCTCCCCCCACCAGGTCCCTCCTTCAATGTTGAGGATTACAGTTGAACCTGAGATTTGGGTGGAGACACAAATCCAACCCATCTCACATTGGCTCTTGCTAGGTAACTTTTGTTGATAAGTAGGTTCCCTCTACTTACTAGTTTGCTTAGACTTTCATTTAGTCATGCATGAATGTGCTTTGAATTATGTTGAGCATCTTTTCTATCTGTATTGAAATAAAGCCCAACTTATTTTCTTTAATCTATAAATATTGTGATTAGCATAGTGGACATTTCTAATATTTATTGTTTATTTCCTGTATAGATCTTTTTTTTTTTTTTTTTTTTTGACGGAGTTTCGCTCTCCTTACCCAG